TATATATATTAGTTATGGGAGGCACATGACTCCCAAATCTGTATCTGTGACCCAGACCTCTTCTCTGTACTTCAAGTACCTATATATTAACTGCCATGAGATGTCAAACAGGCACCTCAACTTAATATTTCTTTCTAACAGGAACTTTATTTCCACTCCCAAACCTGTTCATCCCCCAGTTCTTTCCAATTTTAATAAATGACTCCACCATTTACCCGGTTTCTCCAGGATGTATCCTCAATTCTTCCCTTTCTCTCGTACCCTATATCTGTTTCATCAGAAAGCTGTGCCTTGTTTGATCTTCCTCCAATATATATCTTGAATCCATCAGTTGCCACCACCCTAGTCTAAGTCATAATTATTTCTTGCCTGGGTCTTCTCACTGCTATTCTTGCCTCCCTGTCAGTTTACTGCACAGCATCCCATGTCATCTTTTTAAAACCTTAATCAGCTCACTCACTCCTCAGCTTGAAACCCTTTAAGCAGAGCAGGGTAATGATCTGTGTCCTGCTGACTGCCCCAATTTCCACCTTGGCTTATGCTCTGGGCACATTGCCTTAAAGAGGCCAAGACTTATCCCTCCTCTGGGCTTTTCATTTGTTCTTTCTGCCTGGAATGCACTTCCCTCCACGGACTCATTTCTGTCCTTCTGGCCTCTCAGAGCCTATTTCCCTGTTACCCTCTCATGATCCAATTATTTTTTCATTGAACTAATCACAATCTGTAATTATCTTTTTTGTTTATTTTTTGGGTCTTTCTTCTCCCTGTTAGAATGTAAACTCTATGATGGCTCTTTTCTGACTTGTTTACCAGTGTGTCTCTAACTTAGAGCCTAGCACAGTGCCTGTCACATAATGGGTGCTCATTAAATATTTGTTGAATGAATACAGCAGCTTTACTTGGATTATAACTTAAGCTTTCTCATTTATATTCTGGTACTTATCATGTTACCTCAAACAAAAATATAGAGATAAGGAAAAAAAGTATTGATAGCCCAATTCTCCCAACCCCACCAAAAAAAAAAAAAAGAGAGTATATGTGTGTGTATATATATATATGTGTGTGTGTATACATTTATTCAATTCAATTCCAACTTAAACACTGTTATATCATATACTGTGTATATGATACTGCTGAGGCTTCAACATAAATTAAATGATACCTGCCTCTAAGATGAACAAAAAAAAGGACACAGGGAAATACACAACTAACTACAAGTCAACTGTTGTGTTATAGGCAAGTGTGATTTAAGCATAAAGAATCAGACAGCTAACCCCAAGACAGAAAGCAATATATTCTTAGGAGCCATCAATAAATAATGTGTTCATGAGACCTCACCCCTCCAAGGGCTTGGTGGTAAAACTAATGGTTTGGTTCTCATTTTTCCAGCTGGCATTTTTTAACATCCCCTTGATGGCTTACCTGTGTTGGAGCTTGTTGCATCGGTGCTTTGGTCACAACTTCAGGTCTCATCTCCGTCAAGGAAAATACTTGAAAACTATACCTGTTCACCTGCTTATGCTACTGCTGTACATCTGGCAGGTGCATTCCTGCTACTTTCTTTATATAACATATGGCACCAT